GATCTATCCCTATGCCTGTCCCCAACACTCCCCCCACCCCGCATTCCACTGTGCCACCATCGATGGTGGCACCTGGATCTGCTCCCAAATCCTTGGGGACAGCTCGTGTAGGGCCACCCCCAGGACCCCAAATCCATCCCAGACCCCAAATCTGTCCCAGTCCCCAAATTCCTCCCTGTCCCTCCAGACCCAAACCCCGTCCCAGTGCCCCCAGACCCCAAATCCCCCCAGACCCCAAATTCCCCCCCTGTCCCTCCAGACCCAAAATCCCTCTGGTCCCACCTGGCCCCCAAATCCCTCCCAGGTGTCCCCACCCCTGGCTGTCCCCATGTCCCCAGGTGTCCCCCAGGTGTCCCCATGTCCCCCAGGTGTCCCCCAGGTGTCCCCCAGGTGTCCCCACGTCCCTGTGTCCCCCCAGGTTTAAGGATTTCTACCAGCTGGAGCCCCACAAGTTCCAGAACAAAACCAACGGCATCACCCCGAGGCGCTGGCTGGCGATGTGCAACCCCGGCCTGGCCGAGGTCATCGCGCAGGTGAGCTCACCTGGGACAGCCCGGGACAGCCTGGGACCACTGGGGTCACCTGAGCTCACCTGGGACAGCCCAGGACAGCCCGGGACCACTGGGGTCACCTGGGACCACTGGGGTCACCTGAGCTCACCTGGGACAGCCCGGGACAGCCTGGGACCACCTGAGACCACTGGGGTCACCTGAGCTCACCTGGGACCACCTGGGACAGCCTGGGCTCAACTGGGATTTTGGGGTTTTTGGGATTTTGAGGTTTTGGGGCTTGGGGTTTTGGGCTCACCTGGGGATCACCTGGGTTTACCTGATCTCACCTGGGGTTCACCTGATCTCACCTGGGGCTCACCTGGGTTCACCTGCTCTCACCTGCTCTCACCTGTGCTCACCTGGGGCTCACCTGATCTCACCTGTGCTCACCTGGGCTCACCTGTGCTCACCTGGGGCTCACCTGGGGTTTACCTGATCTCACCTGGGGCTCACCTGGGGCTCACCTGCTCTCACCTGTGCTCACCTGGGGCTCACCTGTGCTCACCTGGGGCTCACCTGATCTCACCTGGGCTCACCTGGGCTCACCTGATCTCACCTGTGCTCACCTGGACTCACCTGGGGCTCACCTGGTCTCACCTGTGCTCACCCGGGGGCTGGGGGGGTCCGGGGAGGGGTCCCAAGGGGCTCCGGGGGGGTCTCAGCAGCCCCTCCCCCTCTCAGGCCATCGAGGTGACGCTCAGGGCGCACCTGGCCAAGGTGTGGGGGGTGCGGCCGGGGGAGAGCAGGAGGAGTTTGGGGGGGGCTCCGGGGGTCCCGGCCGAGCCCCCAGCCCCTTTTTTGGGCTCACCTGTGCTCACCTGGGCTCACCTGGGGCTCACCTGGGTTCACCTGCTCTCCCCTGTGCTCACCTGGGGCTGCCCCCTCCCTCTCCAGCGCATTGGGGAGGATTTCGTGTCCGACCTGGACCAGCTGCGGCGGCTCCGGGATTTCGTGGACGACGAGAGCTTCATCCGGGACGTGGCCAACGTCAAGCAGGTACGGGGAGCTGGGGGGGGGTCCCGCGGGGGTCCCGGGGGCTGGGCCGGCCCCCCCCCCAAATCCCAGGAGAACAAGGTGAAGTTCGCGGCGTACCTGGAGAAGGTGTCGGGGGTGCGGGTGAACCCCGCCTCGCTCTTCGACGTGCAGGTGAAGCGCATCCACGAGTACAAGCGGCAGCTGCTGAACTGCCTGCACGTCATCACCCTCTACAACCGTGAGTGGGGGTCCCCAAAGCCCCCCCGGACCCCTCCCCACTCGGGGAGAGCCCCCCAAAATCCCTCAACCCCCCAAAAATCCCCAAAATCCCCCAAACTCCTAAGAAAACCCACACTGGGACCCCCCCGAGAACCCCAAATTCCTGCACATCATCACCCTCTACAACCGTGAGTGGGGGTCCCCAAAGCCCCCCGGGACCCCTCCCCAATTTTGGGGATCTCCCTTGACTCGTGCCCCCCCCCCGTTTTGGGGTCCCCCCCCAATTTCAGGGATCAAGAAGGACCCCGGGAAACCTTTCGTGCCCCGAACCATCATGATCGGGGGCAAGGTGAGGGGGCTTCGGGGTCTGGGGGTTTTGGGATTTGGGGGTTTGGGGTTTTTTGGGGTTTGGGGGTTTTTGGGATTTGGGGGTTTTGAGGATTTTGGGGGTTTTGGGGTTTTTTGGCGTTTGAAGTTTTGGGATTTTGGGATTTGGGGTTTTTTTGGGGGGGTTTTGGGAATTTGGGGTTTTTGGGGGGGTTTTGAGGTTTTTGGGATTCTGGGATTTTGGCGTTTTTGGGGTTTGGGGATTTTGGGGTTTTTGGGGTTATGGGGTTTTGGGGGATTTGAGGGTTTTTGGGGGTTTTGGGATTTTTTGATTGGGGTTTTTTTGGGGAGTTTCTTGGGGTTTCTTGGGTTTTTGAAATTTTGGGATTTGGGGTTTTTTGGGAGTTTTTCGGGGGTTTTTTTGGGGGGTTTTTGGAGTTTTGGGATTTGGGTTTTTTTGTTGGTTTTTTTTTGGGGTTTTTGGAGTTTTGGGATTTGAGTTTTTGGGGTTTTTTGGGGTTTCAGAGACATTTTGGGCTCTCCATTTTGCTCAGAGTGGGAATTTGAGGGGCTCCTGAGGGGGCTCCATTTGGGTTTGGGGTGGGGGGCTCCTGCTGGGTGCAAGGTCTCTCTGGGGGGGGGATGGGGGGGGTCCCTGAGGGTTTTTGGGGTCGCTGAGTGTTTCGGGGTGCCCCCCAGGCCGCCCCCGGGTACCACATGGCCAAGATGATCATCCGGCTGGTGACGGCCATCGGCGACGTGGTCAACCAGGACCCAGCCGTGGGCGACCGCCTGCGGGTGCTGTTCCTGGAGAACTACCGGGTGTCGCTGGCCGAGAAGGGTGGGCACCCCAAAAAACCCCAAACCACCCCAAAATCCTCCTGAACCCACCCCAAAAACCTCCCTGAACCACCCAAAAACCCTTGAACGACCCCAAAATCCCCAACCCGCCTGCGGGTGCGGTTCCTGGAGAACTACCGGGTGTCGCTGGCCGAGAAGGGTGGGCACCCCAAAAAACCCCAAACCACCCCAAAATCCTCCTGAACCCACCCCGAAACCTCCTTAAACCACCCCAAAATCCTCCAGAACCCACCCCAAAAACCTCCCTGAAACCCCCTGAACCACCCCAAAATCCCCAACCCGCCTGCGGGTGCTGTTCCTGGAGAACTACTGGGTGTCGCTGGCCGAGAAGGGTGGGCACCCCAAAAAACCCCAAAATCACCCCAAAATCCTCCTGAACCCACCCCAAAACCTCCTTAAACCACCCCAAAAACCTCCCTGAACCACCCCAAAATCCCCAACCCGCCTGCGGGTGCTGTTCCTGGAGAACTACCGGGTGTCGCTGGCCGAGAAGGGTGGGCACCCCAAAAAACCCCAAAGCACCCCAAAATCCTCCTGAACAACCCCAAAAACCTCCCTGAAACCCCCTGAACCACCCCAAAATCCTCCTGAACAACCCCAAAAACCTCCCTGAAACCCCCTGAACCACCCCAAAATCCTCCTGAACAACCCCAAAAACCTCCCTGAAACCCCCTGAACCACCCCAAAATCCTCCTGAACAACCCCAAAAACCTCCATGAACCACCCAAAAACCCTTGAACGACCCCAAAATCCCCAACCCGCCTGCGGGTGCTGTTGCTGGAGAACTACCGGGTGTCGCTGGCCGAGAAGGGTGGGCACCCCAAAAAACCCCAAAAAACACCCCTGAACCCCCAAATCCTCCTGAACCCACCCCAAAACCCCTGAACCCACCCCAAAAACCCCTGAACCCACCCCAAAATTTCAA